TTTAAGGACTTCTCTAATATTTCCTTTATACACTACTTACTGTACCACTCATCAGCTCCCAATTATAGGCTTCTATTAGGGTGGAGTGCAGTCTGTAAAATACAGAGCATCAAATATGATTCGACATAACAGCCACCTCCTTTCTATTGCTTTTTATAGTTGGCCCCAACAGACTCTTACCACAAAAGGATTATTGAAAGATTATAAATGCGGGGATAACCCAAGATGTTCTTTTTGCCTATTGCTGTGTCTCTTTCTGCTACTCACTTTTTCTCATTGCTGGTATTTGCCACCAGGTCAGCAATAACAGAGCATGGGGTTCCTGTGGTATCCTCCCAGGATGGGTATACTACACAGAGGACTAGGAGGCAAAGCCTTTAAGGATTTAACAGTGTCAGATGTGCTCACGCACAAAAAGAAAGAAGCTTAGTGTTGAGAAAGTGGGAAATGTGCCAGTGGTTTAAAGATAGTGATTTTCAGCATTTCAGCAGACAGCTTCTTATCTGTCCAATGGGATCAAGTCGTTACAAAGAGGGCTGAGCTGGCAATCAGTGGCCCTGTGACTGTAATTGCCACTGCTTGTTGATCGTCTTTATTCTGCCTGTTTTCTAGCAATTTTCTATAATTTGACTTAAACCCTGCTAGTTTGCTCTCTAAGAGCTTTGTGGTGGTTGACACATACACATAATTCCCAGGGGGAAGCCCCTTCACTCTGATAGGATAGGCTGTTCAACTGCTGGAAGGCATCTTACGTCTCCCATTCTGGTGTTATTTCTCGTGGCAACAAGCATCTGCCTTGCTGAAATGCCCTTGAGCGAAACACTGAATCCCCGAACTCAAGTATTAAAGGATTTTTGATAATATATAAAATAGATAGATTTCTATATTTTTATTGTCAGCACAGACAAACAATTAATTGATCCTAGTATTGCATGTGTAGCAAAAACTGATATATCTTCTTCATCTGTGCAATAGAGCCATTTTCCTTAAGGGATCCTTTTCTATCATTAGTAAATTAAGGACCCCTGACTAAGTGATATATTTTGTAGATGTTGTATATTAATTCAAAACTACATCAACCCAAATAGTAAACTGCAAGAAGTTTGTCTAAAATTAGTAATTTGGATGAATTTTCAGTAGATTATTTCCTGTTTAGGGAACTTTTTATTACATTCTGTCTGTATTGTGTATTTTTTTAAATAATTGCTAACAATCAGACAGACTTAATAGGCTTCTTTTTTTTGACAAATTATGTGTTTTCTTCTCCCTGATGCTTGGCCATTGTTCTATTTGACAATTTTAATTTCTAAACAGAAGGGAATAAAATGCTGAGATATATGCCTTCTGTGTATATTTTTTAAGTTTTCTAGCACGCCTTAAAATCAAGAAGGCCTTGCGTCCCCCCTGAAGCTTTGGCGACCCCTACTGGGGTTTCCGACCATCAGCCACTGCCTTAGAACACCATTGTTGTCCAAAAAATATTAAAAACACATTAGTGAGCCACAACTTTGCCCTTTGACATGTTCCCTCATGACAATTAATATGTACACTGTTAATGACAACACACTCACTAGAGCACCAAATGTTCACCAATTAATCCACTGCTGCAAATACTTCCCAAGAAATTAACTATTTACTCCTGTTTTTGTGACACATTCATAGATTTATACTCGAGCTTAGTCTTAATATTATTTCTGACAGTGTCCTTACGTTTGATTCATAAAAGATACTGAACACACACAGGTTCTAAGAAGCCCATTTGTAACTTATGCACATGTGATTTATACATATGAAATTAATTTAAAATTAAAGCTGCAAGCAGCGTTGGGCGGGACCTCGCCCTCCACGCAACTCGGGGCGTGCTGCG